TCAGTGACTTGGTGTTTGTTTCCCATGTGCCCTGTATCCTGTCTCCTGCCTGCTCGACTCTCCTGCGTAACTCTGATAGAACTCTGCCTGCACTGACCCCGGCTATTCCTGACCATTATCTGCCTGCTCCCGTTGTACCTTTCTGCCTGATTGTTCCTGACCCGGCCTGCCTGACCACTCCACCTCTCCAGCCCTGACTGCACCTGTACCTATTAGTTTAAGGTTTGTTTTGTTTTGCACTGTGTTTGTTTATTTTGTGCAGCTCATAATAAATATTATTATTTATTTTTAATCATTTCTGAAGCCTGCTGTTTCCCTGTGTCAGTCCACACATCTCTGGTCATACCTGGATCTCTGACAACCTCCACTGCTGAGTCCACCCTTCATGCTCTACTACAAGGTCGGCGGCCTGTGGAGGACTACATAGTGGAGTTCCGTAAATGGTCTGCAGACACTGGTTGGAATGATGCAGCATTGAATTACCAGTTCCGCCTAGGCCTGTCCGAGTCCCTCAAGGACGAGTTAGCTAGGGTGGAAGCTCCCTCCTCCTTGGAGAACCTTATCCTGCTCGCTACCCAGTTGGATCGGTGTCCACGGGAGAGACGAGCTGAGCGTACTCAGACATTTCGGCCCACATGGGTTCTGCCAAATGTTCCAGGGCCAACGGCTCCAGCCTTGCTCCGCAACCCATCAACAAGTCAGAGGTCGAACCCATGCAAATCGGCCTTCTCCGACCTGCCCTAACTCCGGAAGAAAGGCGCCACAGGCCACTTCCTGCGTAGCTGCCCAGTGCGCCCAAGTCCAGCCAGCTGCATCCTTCGTACCTTCAGCTATCCGGGACTTTAACCACCCATGTCATTCTCTCCATGTCTTTGCAGGTGGCTGGAAGGGACGTCAAGTTGCTGGCAGTCGTTGACTCGGGAGTCTGTAGCTGTTTCTTAGACATCCAATTGGCCAAGGACTTGCACATCCCTCTTCTGCCTTAGAAACAGAGACTTGACGTCTTACATGCGGATGGCACTACTCCGAGTTCCGGACCTGTTACCCAGGAGACCACTCCTATTCTTGCAACCACCGACTCTGGCCATCAGAGGTTTATTCGCTTCGACGTGATTAGGTCCCGCATGTTCACAGTCATCCTAGGAATACCCTGGTTGCAAGCCCACAATCCACAGATCGATTGGCCCAAGAAGGAAATCTTTTCATCGGAAGATTGTCTACAACACTGTGGTGCCCCTGCACCCACCAATTCTTCCGTATACCTTTCAGTCCAACCTTCCACAGAGGCTAGTCAAGTCGTTCCCTCTACCTACCATGACTTCCTCGATGTGTTCAATAAAAAAAAGGTCGACGCATTGCCTCATAGGCCTTACGATTGCCCAATTGAGTTACTCCCAGGAGCAGAAATACCATTTGGGCAAATTTTCCCTTTATCCGAACTTGAACTGGAAGCCCTCCGACACTATCTAGACAAGAATCTCGCTAAAGGATTCATCCGTCCCTGTTCCTCTCCTGCCGGGGCTGGTGTCTTCTTTGTGGAAAAAAAAGATCGATCTCTTAGACCATGCATTGACTACAGGGAACTTAATAAAATCCCCATCAAAAACTGGTATCCTCTTCCTCTGGTGCCCAAGTTATTCCAGAGATTCCGAACGGCCCGAGTCTTCACTAAATTGGACTTAGGGGGGCCTACAATTTAGTCCGTATAAGAGAGGGCGATGAGTGGACGACCGCCTTCAGGACACGCTTCGGCCTTTCTGAATATTTAGTGATGCCGTTTGGGCTATGTAATGCCCCTGCTACGTTCCAACATTTTGTGAACGACCTCTTTAGAGAATACTTAGACCTTTTCGTGATCGTCTACCTGGACGATATCTTAATTTTCTCTACTTCACTGGAACTCCATCGGGATCATGTTAGGAAGGTGCTAAACACTCTAAGGATGCATGGCTTGTACACCAAGGCGGAGAAGTGTGAGTTTGAGAAGCAGTCCATCCAGTTCCTAGGGCTCATAATTTCCACCGGGGGGGATCTCCATGGACCCTCAGAAAGTATCTGCTATCCTGGATTGGCCTGCACCTGCAGACAGGAAAGGGGTCCAAAGATTTGTGGGTTTCGCTAACTTTTACTGGAAATTTATTAAGGACTTTTCCACCATCATTGCCCCAATCACTCAACTCACCCGCCAGCATACACACGATTTTGCTAGAGCCAGGAACCTCAAAGAGCATTCGAGCAATTAAAAGACCAATTCACTTCAGCTCCAGTGTTACAGCATCCAGATCCAAAACTCTCCTTCATCCTGGAGGTAGACGCATCTGAAGTTGCTACAGGAGCCGTGCTCTCCCAGCGTCAGGGCCCAAAGGTTCTGCGTCACCCAATAGCATTTTGTTCCAGAAAACTGAGCCAAGCCGAGAGGAACTACGATGTGGGAGATAGGGAACTGTTGGCAATTAAAATAACCTTCAAAGAATGGAGGTATCTCTTGGAAGGAGTCGGCCACCTGGTTATGATTTTCACGGATCACAAAAATCTGGAGTATCTAAGGTCCGCCAAGCGCCTAAGACCTCGACAGGCTAGATGGGCTTTGTACTTCTCCAGGTTTAACTTTCACATAACCTACCGCCCAGGATCCAAGAACGGGAAGGCAGATGCCCTTTCCCACATGTTCCCGGACCCAGAGGAGCCTTCTCCCCCTAACATCATTTTGTCGGCCTTAAATTTCATGCTGATCTAACCCAGCCTAAAGTCTTTGATCAAGCAGGCCTCTGCACTATGCCCTGAACCTGAACAAAATCCACTTAGAAGGCAGGATGGTCTTCTGTATTACAGGGGAAAAATCTTTGTACCCCAGGAAGTGAGGTCTCAAGTGCTAAGGGCTCTTCATGACCATCAACTGGCTGGACACTTTGGAGCCCGTAAGACAATGGAACTAATCCAGCGATCCTTTTGGTGGCCTAACCTGAATCATGACTGTAGAGCTTATGTGAAGTTGTGCAGTGTGTCTACGGAACAAGGGAGACAAAGCCAAGGCCTGGGGGTGCTGAGGCCTCTGCCCATTCCTGATCGACCCTGGGAGATGGTCTCAATGGACTTCATTGTGGATTTACCGCCCTCAGAGGGGTTTACTACCATTCTGGTAGTGGATCGGCTATCCAAGATGGCCCACTTTTTACCAATGGTGGGTACGCCATCCGCACCAGAGACTGCACTAACGTTCATCAAAGAGATTGTCAGGTTACATGGTCTGCCCAGTAATATCGTCTCAGACCGAGGGGTGCAGTTTACGTCCAGGTTCTGGAGAGCCCTTGGCAAAGCCCTGAAGGTGGAACTCTGCTTATCGTCCGCCTACCATCCCCAGAGTAATTGGCAAACGGAGCGAACAAACCAGACTTTGGAGCAATATTTACGGTGCTTCTCTGCCTTTTCTCAGGATGATTGGGCATCTCTACTCCCATTGGCAGAATTTGCCTACAATAACTCAGTCCATTCTGCCACAAACCAGTTGCCATTTTGGGCTAATTATGGATTCCACCCTTCCTCCATACCTGACACCATTCCCGAAGCGTCGGTACCCGCAGTACAGGACAGACTCTCCATGCTACAGAACAACTGTAAAGTCCTCCGAGAATCTATACTGAAATCCCAGGCTGATTATAAGAAACACTACGACAGGAAACGGAGAGGAGACCCTCCTCTGAATATTGGAGACAAGGTTTGGCTGTCAACTGCCAATCTAAAACTCCCGTGCCTGTCACGTAAGTTGGGTCCTAGGTACATTGGCCATTTCCAGATCAAGAGGGAAGTAAATCCAGTGGCATTTGAGCTGTCTCTTCCAGAATCATACAAGATCCACCCAGTTTTCCACGTCTCCCTACTCAAGCCAGCTGTTTCTGATCCTTTTCCAGGGAGAGTAGAGCCACCTCCTCCGCCGATAACAGTTGGGGAGGAGACGGAATATGAGGTTGAAGCAATTCTGGATTGCAGAAGGCAGGGAAGACAGATCCAGTACCTGGTCAGATGGAAGGGGTACCCACTTGAAGAAAGTTCCTGGGAACCAAAAGGGAATATACATGTCCCCAGGCTTCTCCAAGAGTTTCATTCCAAGTATCCTGAAAAGATGGCCCAGGTGGGCATCTGGAGGCTGCCCTTTAGAGGGGGGCACTGTCAGGGTCCTGTCCACAGCAGGAGTTCTGGCGTTTCTGCCAATACTCTACATGACCGTAGAAGGACACATCAGCCTCAGTCTGGTGCCAGACGGCCTTTATAAGGAGACTCATCACTTCCTCTGGTTGCTGGATGATCTCTAGCTCCCCGTGGTTTGTTCCTGTTTCCTGTGACTTGTGACTTCCTGATTCCGACCCGGCTTGTACTTGGACCTGTCTGCTCTACTGAACCCCTGATCTGACCTCGGCTTGGCTAAAGGATACTCTCTCTCTTGCTCCTCCATGTATGACCTCGACTATCCCACCTGACCACGTCTGTTCTGTTCCCCACCCGGTACCTGACCTTGGCTCCAACTGACTAACCAGCAAACATCCAAATCCCGGAAGGCTTGCATACCACACACAGGTGCCTCCAGTCTGCAGACCTATCCCCGTGCACCAGCTGTGCTCCTGAGTGGACCACCAACCAGCACTGCTACAGGCGGCCTGTGCAACTTTGGGCCTGACTCCCGCTGTCCCACTCTCAGGGGAGTCCGGAACATAGCCGCAAGGGAAGCCCTCTCTCCATTAGCCTCCATTACCAGGTACGTGATAATAGATGTCTTTATTGAAAGTAAAGTAGTTGTGTGTAATTATTTTCCCCACTGTATAAATCCTGTATTGTAATAATATATATTAATAACAATCAACCGAGTTGCATGAGTGTTGATCAGAACATAAAAATGGCTTCCTACCCTGACTGATGTTCACAGGTCTGTGAGACTCTAGACTGGTCTTTTTTTGCAGGCAGTGGTGGTAAAATATCAATAACAGCAGCAACTCTTTTTCTTATTGCAACAGGTCTGGATCTCTTCAGTGAACAAACTGAATAAAGAAGCCCTTTCACAATGGGTGAAAGAAAATAATGTCTTACTTGAACAGGTCAATGGCCAGAGAATTTACCGCGGGTCCACTGAAGGTACGTGGCACTGATGAATTGCTATGTAAGGGCCTATTCTCATCCATACACATGACAATAATTGTCTAAAACAGGGGTCTTCAAGCTTTTGAATCAGAGGGCCAGTTCACTGCACTTCAAACTTTGGGGGACTGGACTGTGACCAATGAGAGTAGAAAATGCCTTTGCATCGGTGGAAGTAAAAAATGCTATAGGCTTTGTGGTCAGTGGGAGTAAAAATAAATTACATCATTGGTGTCAGTGGGAGTGGGCCACAGCCAGCCCATGGGCTTCAGTTTGGAGACCCCAATATAAAACATGATGTAATGTTTTCAAATACAATTATGTGCTTTTTGTTTGGTTGGTATGTTTGGTTAAAAGTGGACTTTACATTACAGTAACTTTACAAATCTAGTATACCTGACATGTCACAATACTGTATACAGAAACAGTATAGTTAAAAAAAAAACTAATTGAAGAGCTCTGCTAAGTGTCCAAACTAAGAAGATGTCATCAGTTTGGCTGCAGGCAGCAAAGCATTCCCTCAGTCTCCTGTAAATCAGACTTCAGCATTTTAGCTTTTTATTAATAGGCTGCAGCATGGAGTTGATGTACTCTATTTCAAGTATATCAAATGTAAAAACAGTTGAGAAATGCATTGAATCCAGGAAATACATGATTGTGAGTTCTCTGAGATAGCATCTCAGTCCAGGAGGTAGATACTAACCCTGGATAATGCCTTTCCGTCCTTCTAGAAAGGAAAGTGGATTAAGTCACAATGTCAGGTGGAGTATTGTGATAACTGTGAGAAATAATGCCTGGAAGTGTTATACTTGCACATTACTTTTACTTTAAAGTGGACTTTTCCACCCTTTCACTAATTTTTACTAGGGATGCACTGATACATGGATGGTGCTGACCAATCAAAAGCCCTCTAGCCCGAACTGTCATCCCTGCAAGGAGAGGAGAGAAAGCCGCTGGGAGTGCAAATACTGTCCGCTTGCTTTCCTCTCCTGCAGCTGAGAATACGGAGCATCTGCCACCAGGTATACATCCCCACACTCTTCTCTCCTACTGTTTGCTGCGGGAAACCTCCTTGCACCGCTCCTGTGTGAACTCTGACAAGCCTGGGTTTACATAGAAGCAGTGGGGAAACAGCATGCTATTTGGCAAAGAATCGCATTCCTGTTCAATTCGTATGCTATTCTTTGTGGTGCAGTTTGCATCCATACATATTGTATTGACGAAAATCACACCACAAATTACTCAGTATCAGCGAGTACTGGACTGAAAGTATCAATACTCTGTACTTGCCGATCAAAAAAGGGTATCAGTGCATCCCTAATTTTCACATCAGCATGAAGATTGCATCAACAGAGCCAATGAACATCAGTCATAAGACTGATGTCGTAAGACTCTCAGTGTGAGACTTCTTCTGGTGGCAGCCAGGGATCTCCTTAGAAGGAAGGCCTGTATACACAGGAGAAGACTATATACATCCAACTTCCATAGAGTTTATGGCCATTTCATCCTCCAAGGAGTAAGATCCTTTGAAACTCTAAAAAGGTCACATAGGATATAGTCATCAGAATTCTTTTGTTTTGTTGCAACTGAAAAACTGTGCTACAGTTATATATTATATATATTTGGATACAGGCTCAATTTAAGATTTTTTCAGGTATTTACCAAAACATATTCATGCTATAGTTATATAATGGATATGGGCTGAAAGTTCACACTCTCAGGTTTAATATGAGGGTATGTACATCCAAATTGGAGTAAGGGTTTAGGAATTACAGCTCTTAAGAGTAGCCACCCCCCATTTTTCAAGGGACCAAAAGTAATTGGACAATTGACTCAACAGCTGTTTCATGGCCAGGTGTGGGCTGCTCCTTCGTTATTTCTTCATCAATTAAGCAGGTAAAGGGTCTGGAGTTGATTCTAAATGTGGTATTTGCATTTGTAATCTATTGCTGTGAACTTGCATCATGCGCTCAAAGGAGCTGTCCATGCAATTGAAACAGACCATTGTAAGGCTTCAAAAAACGAAACAAATCCATCAGAGAGATAGCAGCAACATTAGTAGTGGCCAAATCAACAGTTTGCTACATTCTGAGGAAAGAAGAACACACTGGTGAGCTCAGCAACATAAAAAGGCATGGACGCCCATGGAAGACAACAGTGGTGAATGATCGCAGGATCATGGTAAAGAAGAACCTATTCACAACATCCAGGCAAGTGAAGGACACTCTCCAGGAGGTGGGCGTACCATTGTCAAAGTTTACAATCAAGAGAAGACTTCACGAGAGCAAATACATAGGGTTCACTACAAGGTTCAAACCATTCATAAGCCTGAAGAATAGAAAAGCCAGATTAGACTTTGCCAAAAAACATCGAAAAAAGCCAGGCCAGTTCTGGAAAAGCATTCTATGGATAGATTAATCTGTACCAGAATGATGGGAAGAAAAAGTGTGGAGAAAGCTTGGAACAGCTCATGATTCAAAGCACACAACATTATTTGTAAAACATGGTGGAGGCAGTGTGATGGTATGGGCATGCATGGTTTCCAGTGTCACTGTGTCATTGGTGTTTATTGATGTGACAGCAGCAGCTGGATGAAATTTCAGAAGTGTTTAGAGATACACTGTCAGCCCAGATTCAGCCAAATGCTTCAAAGTTGATTGGACGGCGCTACACAGTACAGATGGCCAATGATCCAAAATACACTGCAAAAGCAACCCAGGAGCTTTTGAAGAAAAGAAGTGGAATATTCTGCAATGGCTGAGTCAGCCACCTGACTTCAACCCAATTGAGCATGCATTTCACTTACTGAAGGCAAAACTAAAGGCAGAAAGACGCACAAAGAACAACTGAAGACAGCTGCAGTTAGAGCCTGGCAAAGCATCAGAAAGGAGGAAACCCAGTCTTTGGTAATGTACATGAGTTCCAGAGTTCAGGCAGTCATTGCCAGTAAAGGATTCTCAACAAAAATTAAAAATGACCGTTTTATTTATGATTATATTCAATTGTCCAATTACTTTTGGCCTCTTGAAAAAGGGGGGATGGCTACTCTTAAGAGCTGTAATTCTTAAACCCTTCCTCCAATTTGGATGTATATATCCTCAAATTAAACCTGAGAGTGTGCACTTCCAGCCCATATCCATTATATAACTATAGCTTGAATATGTTTTGGTAAATACCTGAAAAAAAAAAACTAAAATTGTGCCTGTGTCCAAATATATATGGACCTAACTGTATGTCTTTATTTCGGAACATGGACTATACTTGCACTAGCTCTCTTTGAGACAGTTTTAGCCACTCCCCAGGCACATTTACATCAGTCCATCTTCTTGTAATTTCCATGGCTTTCTCTACCCCCCATCCCACCTTTCTCTGGAAAAAGATGGAAGGCACTACTCCTTAACACCTTAAGATTGGGCACACGTGGTCGGCTACCTCCAAGTCTTTGATTAATGTCCCTGCCTCCAAAACAAATTGCAAATGCTTAAATGCATTGGTACCTGTTTCCAACCCGAATACCTTGAGCACTTCCAGGGTACTCTCCACACTGCTTCAGTTGCTGTACATCATTGCATTTTTAAGTTAGAAATGCACATTTTAGAATGTGTGTGAAAAATGGGGAAATTGGTCCAGCACTGAAAGGGTTATACCCATTTTGTCTCCTGAATACAGTATACAGCAAGCCCTGTACCAAAAATGTTGCCCAAACAATGCCTGTAAAAAGAACAGCAAAACAGAGTGACAAAATGTGAGCATGACGAAAAGACTTAGGGCACCCTGGGATAAACAGAAAAAAAAATTCTGGCGGTGATCAGTACCCATGGTCAGGTTTTGGCTAACAGTGGGAGGGGCTTAAAGGGGGATAATTAAACAGAATCTGTGCCTAGCCACTATATACACTGCACACTTATAACAGAGCCCCCCTACACAAGAGACACCAGAGTTTCCTTTACATCAGACTCCACAGAGTTCTGTACATCAGAATCTGAAGGGTTCCCCCTTACAGTGCAAGGGGGAACTCTGTGGACTCTGATGTAAAGGCGAACTTTGACGTAAAGAGAAACGTTGTGGACCATGATATAAGAGAGAATACTGCGGACGGTAAAGGGGACCTCTGATGTAATGTAGTCTTTGGTCACCAGGGCACCCTTTACATCAGAGTCCACAGAGTTCCCCCTTGCACTGTAAGGCTTGTTTCACATGTGCTTTTTGAATCGCTGAATTGCTGTGTTTCTGCCTGCAATTTCAAAACACTCTGCCAAGAGAAATCGCGGAACTGCGCGTTCAGGTGACATTCATTTTAATGGGACCTGAGACATGGTGTGGTTCTGCTGCGATTATCACACGATCCATTACACTGCAATTGCAGTAAACCGTATTGTTGGAAGCATATGAACACAAATTTTATCACAGTGTGACACTCATTCATGGTGTTTGTTCATTCATGATCATTAAGGATTACTGTACTATATATTTTTTTATTGTTACGCTGACACATTGGCGCAAGCCTCAATATACTATGGAGGAGTTGATGGAGCAGTTCCCTGAGATTCACAGATGGATGGCCTTGTGATGGTTGTCTGTAGGTTTTTATGTATTATGCTGCACAATACTTTAAAGGATAAGTTCATCTTTTGACAAAAAATATAAATGCACATTTGTTTGCAGGTAAAAAAATGTGCATTTATAAATTTTTATTGGAGGAGCCTGGAAAGCATTGCAGCAGATTGCTGGTGCCATGCAGGACTCCTACAGACTGTCAGTACATCCTGTATGCGAAAGCTGATACACTTTGATAGGAAGAATCAAATGAACTATCACAGCGCCATAGTAGTTCATTAAGAACTACAAGCCAATAGCCGTTAAGGCTATCGGACTTGTAGTTTTCTCAGTCACAGAATACTGTGAATGAGTGACACGGCTGGGCAGGTGGAGCCCCTCACAACTGTGTGTTTTAAAAAATTTTGACAGCTGGAGTAGAAGATCCCCCGCTAGCTGTC